TCTTGAATAGCATCTGTTCATTAAAATATCTCATGGCGTATTTCTTGACATACAAGTAATGGTTATGGCACAGTTACAAGTTTTGTTGCATTTTGTTATTGCAAAAAATACTCTCTTTCTCAGTATTAGATTGTAATGTTTATTACTAAGTAAAATGTGAATAATTCTTGCAAAGTAGGCCATTCCTGTTCTTCAGGATGTGGAAACTAAGGTTAGTTCCATAAAACAAATGCCTTTTTGCTGCAGCTGTAGCAATTGTGTTTTGATAGATCTGAACTTATGTTTTCATTCTTCAGCAGAACTGTTGGAACTGACTAGATAAGAGCGTAATGGCCCTGTGGGCTCGGTCCCGGCTCGGCCGCGAGGAAGTTCAGCCCTCGCGGAGGGGCTGGCGCCGCGCGGGGCAGCGACAGGGGTGGCCGGGCTCCACGAGGCCGCGCAGCGAGGCCCGGCCTCCCGAGGGACTGCGGCCCCCTCCGTTTCCGAAGGCTGTGCCAGGAAGTAACCCTAAGGGAGAGCATAGTCAGGGCATTTTAGGTAAAATACTTTTACGTTGTCAGTGAATTGTAGAGATGAATGCATGTTACTGTGATTGAAATGTGCAGCGGTAAGAATTCCGTTTGTTACTCCTTGCTCAGAATTACGCGGTTTTATTAATTGTGGGAGTAAGTACCAAGGAGGAGCAGGCCGTAATTTTGGACATTTGTTCACAGATGTAAATGGTGTTTTTTAGCTGCATATAAAAATTTGCTCAGGTGGAAGCTTGGAAGGAAGCTGTCCAGCTCTGGAGGTTATGTTTCTCAGCTGTGTGTTGTATAATTAACTGGTACATTAGGAGGGGGGCTAGAATTATACATGAGTATGTTAATGCAGCCTGGAGCTGATGTTGTAGTGATCATTGCAATGCAGATAAAGCATTTCTCATAACCGCTGCTGCCTACTGGAGCCTTTGAAACATCTGGACCTTTAATTGAAAAATAGTGTGGTGCTGTACAAAGCAGACATGCTAAGTGAAGTCAACAATTCAGAATCAAAAAATAATCGTGTGTTATTTACCTTGTAGTTAAATATTTATACTTTGTTATGCTTTGTATAGCAGGAAATTACTGGGTTAAATTTTTATGAACAGTGACAACATGAATAAGATAAATTAAGCATTTAATGGTGTTAATGGCATCTCTGTGATGTGCTAGCTCTGCAGCTCGCGCGGCGCCGGGGTCCCCGGGCCGCTCCGCTCTGCTCCGCTCCTGCCCCGATGCACGGCCGGGGCATTTTCAATAAATGACTTAAGAATCGGAAAGTTGATGGTAAGGCTTACAGCAATGAAATGTGTCCCCCCAGCGTAACCAGGTGGTGCAAGAAACGTCCCTCTTCCGCCGTGTCGGCGTGCTGGGCCGCGGGGGACGGAGCGTCGTTCCCGTGGATATCCGTGGATGCGCCGCCGAAGAGGCGTTTGCTCCAGCCCTGTCCCAATGCGGCGGCCGACGCGAACGGAGACGTGGCACAGCTCTCCATGGCGCGAGGTGCCAACCGCTCACCCTCGTGCTTCATAGAACAGCCCTCCTGTGCACTCGCCCCCTCCAAAGCGGGTTTCTTTAGAGGTGCTTCGCCTGCTTCATTTCCAATTATTTTAAATGAAGAAAAAATTACTCTTAAAATACAGCTTTGTTTTTAAAAGTGCAGGCAGTGGGAAGTGGTGGTTCTCACGAGCTTCTTGGAAAAGCGTCCTTTGTTGCCATAAACATTCTGCTCCATTTGGTTAGAACTTTTGTTTGTGTTGGAAATCTCTTAGCTCAGTGCTTACATTTTTTCCCTTTAATGTATTTTCTATATATTGTTTAAATACATTTTTGAGTGAGTAACATTGAGGATGTGATGGCTGCGTCTCATAGTAAAACTAAATACCTGTCACCTAAACCAAAAACATTTCACTTAGTTTAAAAGTGAGAAGAGATTTTGCATTTGGAAAGGGATAAACATTTGTTTCCATTGTGTATAATGTTTAACATGGTTTTCTGGGAGGTGAGTCAATGACTTGAATTAATTATAATTACTGGAGAGACATATACTGATTGAGCAAATAAAGTAGTAAGCTCATTTGTGCCAAGACCATCTAATTAAATGGTAACTTTGGATAAGCTGGATGTGCATGAAAGATTAATTTTAAGAGGTTTTTATGACTCTCACTAAATAATGATTCTCTAAAATCTTTGCATTATATCATCAGAGCATCTAATCTTAAAGTGATATAACACTTGGTCACAGAACTCTATTGTACAGGAAGATGCAGTAAGTTATTATTGTTGAAAATTAATCATATTTTTTCTCTAGGAAATGTTTATGGACTTTATTTTAATTTTCTGCTGCAGTGTGCAGTAAAACAACTCAGCTGCGAGGAGCACACACGGACGTGGTGTTCTCAGTGACTATTTCATTAGCTTCCCGTCACCCAGGTGCGTTAGAACAACGTGTAGAAGTTGTCCTTGCAGGCAGACAAAGCCATACCAGGTTTCCTGTGTGCTCTAGGAGAGAATTAAGGCCACACTATAACCTTTTCAAGGAATACGTCACACGGGGTTGGAGAGAGGTATGCATTCTTTAGTGGCTTTGAACAGAAGTTGATATTAAGTGAACAAGACATCTTGTATTCAAAGAATGTAAAGAGTATCTATTTCTTATTTTTGGATTTAACGGGCTACATCTAAAGCATGTTGAATTTATTATAGAACAAAAAAGGGGGGTAATCAAAAATGGTATGAAGCCAATGAAAACACAGTGTCTGTGTTTATTTTAGACAACTTGGGATATTGGGGTATGTGGATTCAAACACCAATAGTTCTAGATAGCAAATTATTATTTTAGGTGACATTTGTTTATTAATTGAAATAACTTTCCTAAGCTTGATCACTGTTACTTTCATTTTAATTACAGAAGTGCATAAATATAAATTGAATTTCTTAATTCATAATAAGAAAGAGAAAATGTGTTTGTGCATTCATCAGATAGGACTTTTCTAGCAGTAACAAAAAAGAGCTGTAACATCCGCCTATTTTATATAACATTGCAGTTATACAGTTCTTATATAAAAACAAAGATGTGCGAGCTACTGGAAATTCTGAAGGTAGGTGGGTAGGAGCTGCTTCCGAGGTGGAAAACGCAGGAATGTGAAGGGGCCGGGTGCTTCCCGCGTGCGCTTCCCAGGACGTCGTGTCCCTGCGAGGAATCCCAGTGCCCTCTGTGGGATGATGAGGTGTCACTCTTGCTTTGCATGGAATGAAAATATGCTAGAAATAGCAAATTGAAATTTTCATAAGAGCAGACCATATGAAAATGCTAGGTACCTTAAGAGAATCTATTAATAACGATATTAAGGGAATTTTGTTTGATCTATTGCATATGTTGTGTGTGTATCCAGTTTCTCACTTTCTTAAAGGATTGGTGGAATATAACATATGCAACAATAAAAGCTTAATGGAATCAGATTTGTGATTTCCTAGAAAATTAACGAGATATTTTGTCAATTTTATTCCAGACTTCATTTGTCAGAAAATACAGTGTCCACTGACAAGCTAAAAGAATTTTTTGACAAATTAGCAATGCCACAGGTGACAGATCAGGAAAATGTTAATTTAACAGCCCCTTTATGCCTCCCAGATTTATTGGAGGCTATTAACGAAACTCCAAATGGTAAGGCCCCTGGCCCTGAATAGATTTTCCATTGAATTTTATACAGGATCTATTAATAAAGTTTGATGCTGCCTTTTTGAATATAGGTAACTGTACTTTATCTTCTGGGTCTGCTCAACACTTGCTGCCAGAATGTCATTTCTAGTTGGGGGGAAAAGTAATTAGGCTTACAGCAGGGTCCGGAATCTGGTTCTGAGTGATTCCTCCTAAACAAGGGGCCGTAAGGAAACCGCAAAATCCGCAAGTTCTGGCTAGTTAAATCCAGTGTGGCTAGATCTTTGACTTGTGGCCACCGAGACGAATAATTGGATCCCTTCTATTGAGTCCTTCCACCTCCAAACCCTTACCTAATAGGCTTTGAAAAGGTAAGTAATTGAGCTCTGTGGGACTTCTTGCACAATTAATATTTTGCAGGTTCAGACTCAGAATATGGATTCGTTCAGGCCTGTAGACAGGTACCTGATGGCTTGGATTTCTAACGCTTGTGCAGAACAAATGCCATCAATTTGCAATAAACATAGTGGAGATTTCCCCAAACCTCTTTGACTTAGTGATTGATCTGCCTAAGGCTTGACCCGGGTGTTTATAGGGCTTGCTAATTTTTCTTGCCTAACGTGACGGTGAAGCGCGTGTGTAAGCGCGGACGGGAGTTTGCAGCGGCGCGCGGAGCCCGTGGTGTTCCCGCTGCGCGGGGCCCTCCTCGCCGCGCCGTGCCGCGCTCACCGCGGCGTGTCCCCTGTTCTGTGGGACGCGGCAGCCCACAATCCCACCTTACAGGTCTTTATGCTGCTGTGTGTTTTAGGTGGTGTTTAGGTCTTCATCACCAGAATGCCAAATAGTGTTGCCTTTTTTGGCTTGTTTTTTTGTCTGTTTTTAATGCAGCATGTCCCAATAAAAAGCAGTATTAGTTAATACTTCTTGATTGTCTACAATATTTCGAAGCTGTTAAATGCGGGCTCAGTTGTGTGTGTGACTTTGCCTTGGCAAGCAAAGACCAAGCCTAAGGTTTGTTCACAACCCCGTCCCAAGCTCTGCGTGGGCCTGGCGCTCCCCTTGCCCTCCGCCTTGGCCGCCGTCCCCGCCGCGGCCCTCCCGCGCGTGCTGCTGCGCCGGCACCGTTTGAACCGCCTGCAGCTGCAAGAGCAAACCTCCCCAGAACGGTTGCAGATACAGTAAACGGCATGAAAAGATGCCTACATTAAATATTCAAACTCACTTCAGTTTTAGCTTCTGAATGAAATTCACTTTGTAACACACTTTATGTTACCTTGATCGTGCTCGGTCTTTTATGCTCGGTCTCTTTTTCTCAACAGGGTCATGTTGGTACAACTGCAACCAAAAAAATTGATGTCTACCTCCCCCTGCACACAAGCCAAGACAAACTGCAGCCTATGACAGTCGTGACGATGGCAAACGCCAAGGTGCATGACCTGATTGGACTAATATGCTGGCAATATACAAGTGAGGGACGGGAACCAAAGCTAAAGTAATGTGCTTTCTTTACTACCTCTCGATCTCTAACTTGCTCTTCTGTAGCCCTTTTGCATAATGAAATGGATTTCAATATCAGTATTCTCATAGCTGAAGCTTACAGAAGCTGCCCACACAGTTCTCTGTGTTTCCTTCCAAGCGATATAAATGCACGTGTATCCCTTGCTCCTTCTGTTCAGCTGCTCAGTATTGCATGATAAGCGTGTGAAGCCATAGAGCTGTAAATGAACCCTAATTTCAAAACTCTCTGGGTGAAAATAATATAAATCTTTTGATGTCATGGAGACAACTTTTATTTTATGGCCCATCCATTTTCTTGTAGGATCCCTAACGACTGTAAGATCATGAATATGTCAAATGGAATTTAGAATCCATCCCTAATTCCCTTCTTTTGTTTGGGAAAAGGGTACCAAGATTCTGATTTTCGTTTGTCTGCATCATACCAGGTGCCTCCTGCAGATTCATAAAAATAGGAATCACTGCACTGGGCAAACGAGTGTCTTGGAAACAGTATTAGTGTTCTGATGAAACCCTTTACTAGATTTTAACTGTAATGTGAAAGATAAGTCCGTGAGAATTTTCTCATAGAACGTTAGCATTATTTACTTGCTTTCTGTTGTCATGCTGCTGACATGCTGATCTTGATTAATATACACATAGTAAAATATTTGTTTTTCTAAGAATTGACAGGTATAGGGGCTAAAGGTATATTGTACTTTCCAGTTAATCATCCTGGGTATACCAGAATTAAATTAAAATATGCAAATAAGGATCTTGCAAACGAAATAAACACCGGTTTTGTTTAAAATTATGAAAAGATTGTATCCTTTAATTCAAAAAAATAGTTATGCTCTATTTTATAATTACTATGAGACTTTGACCTTAATCATTTAGACTTTTTGCAATAAAGAAAGATCAAAATCACTCTTGTCCTTTAGAAGTTCTAGATTTCGGTAGGTCAGTGGTAATCTTTGGTAACTGCTATTACCTCTTCATTTTGAAAAGTCTGCCCTTAATTTGGTGTGACTGAGTATTGGGTTGAGTCTCCCGGGGAGCTAGCAGTGCTTAGTGAAGGCCAATTGGGAGCTAGCAGTGCTTAGTGAAGGCCATTACTTTGTCTTGGTAGGTACTTCAGGCCTACTCATCTGAATAACTTTGCTTTTAAACGTTATGTAAAATCCAAAGAAATAACTTGCACTTTTTGCCCGGTCTTAGAACATGAAGACAGACATTAATATAGTTTATTACAGAGGTATTAATAATGGTTATTAGCTAATGACTAATGCAAAGAAAGGTTAACAGTTCTGACTGTGAGTCAGCCAGTTTTTCAGATTTTCTTTGTTCCTGGAATATTTGTGGATGTCTTTTCTGCAGTCCTGGTTCGATGGGCGCTGCCCTTGCAGCGTTTTCCAGCAGCGTTTGCGGACTCCGCGCGCTCCGGTTGCAAAGGAATAGCCTCCGAAGGCCGCTCCCGCGGCCGCCTCGCGCTCCCCACGAAGCCGGGAGTCATTTCTGCAGCCGCGTTCCAGTCCCTCACCACAGTGCAGAGAGTCGGGGAACTTCCCTCAATAGTACTGCAGAATTCCAACATTTATGTGCAAACACTATGACCTTTCTGTTCGCCATCCATTTAGCAAATTCACAGTTTACATTAATATTAATGCATCCTTATTATCTGTTTTATACAATAAATATCTTAAGTCTTGACAGTGTGCATATAGATCACCTGGACTAGCACTCTCAATAAAGCATAGTTGCAACCAAAGGTTTGTGAATTAATTGAGAAAATTGCAAATCAGGTAGTCAGTGAAATAATTCATTGTCACATCCAATCAATAAACTTTGTAAATCAACTCATTTAATTCAAAAAATGATCTATATAGATCAAGTAACCAATTAAACAATTAGCATACACTTTGCAATTAATTAATTTAAGCATCAATCATGCAATTAAAACTCCAAATTTAAACTGCAGAGTTTAGAAACATTCTGCCATGTGAACATTCAGGCTGTATTTCATGGCTCTGCCAAGTGGCTGAATGGTGGCAGATTTACAATAAGAAAGGATACTTATTTGCAGCTAACAAATATTAACATTTGATACAGATTTTAATATTGGGAAAGCGTGATTAGTACTGTGTTTTGTAGTATGATAGAGGTATTTCCCGGTGGGTGTTAGTATGTGGAAAGAGGCTTAGATTTTGTTTTGCATCTTCTCCACACTCCTGTTTAAAACCCGCTGTTATTTCGTTCTGTTTGTTAACAGATGCTCATTTTTGACAGTTGGTGCTGTGCTGAACACTGGTTTTACTTTCCTTGTGGCTTGTCCCCTGCTCTGTGCTCTCTGCATACGTGAGCGCTGCGCTGCCGGTGCAGGTTGGACGGGCTCGTGTCGCGTGGGAGGAACACGCAGACACTGCCTGTTTGTCCTGAACTTCCACAAAGCGAGTGATGGCAACCGTGGTATAACCTGCTTTGGGAAGCCACGGAACTTCTGTAGACTTCGGTGTATTTTAATCACCAATCTGTCATTATTTTGCTTATAGTTCAGTTAATGATGAACTGAGACTCCCGGCCTCGTTCCTAGGGGTTTTGTTTGTTTTCTGTTACCACATGGTTATGGTAACAAGATGTGTTGGGATTTGAATTTTGATACAAATATGTGTTATAAGTGGCTTTTGAGTGAATTATTTCTGTGACAAGTGCTTGCGTGTTTTCTCTAGCATTCAGCTAGATGATCGGCTGATGTTGATGTGCAGAGCAGAGTTTGTCTGTAGCTTCCCTCCCGAATAAATCTGCTTTTGTGTCGCAGTGACAACGTCAATGCCTACTGTCTCCATATTGCTGAGGATGACGGTGAGGTCGACACAGATTTTCCACCCTTGGATTCCAATGAGCCCATTCACAAGTTTGGCTTCAGCACTCTGGCACTGGTTGAAAAGTACTCGTCCCCGGGGCTGGCCGCGAAACAGTCGCTCTTTGTTCGCATGTGAGTACCGGCGCTGACTCTGTGTTTACCCAAACGCGTGTGTGTTCCCCCACACACACTTCTCTGCATTTGAATTTCATAAAGTTCAGGGACACATGTACCATGAGGCTTTGCAGATGATGCTGCTGTATAAAATGCTTCATGAGGCAGGTAAGAAAATAAATGCTGCTGAAGGAGCTCAGAGGAGAGACTCTGTGAGTCTAAAGCTACAGAGCGGAAAGAGGAGGCTGTTGGGTAGGTCATTAATTCAGAAAAAATAAATTGTCACCTTCCTGCTATTAAGTATTGGAGCTTGTAATCTTCATTTTGATCCAGACATGATGCTTATTCATGAAAAATGTTTTGAATAGCAAATTAAATATGTTTGTAATGGCTGTAAGATGGTTAAAACTTCCAAAACATTGTTTCTGGATGAAGATAACTTTCCCAGAGACCTCTGCAGTAGCCATCAAGAACTGGTACTGAGAGTCATTTATTTGACTTTCGGGGAAAAACGTGTTAAAAAAAAAAAAAATGTGTGTATATGGTGTTTGGAGATCCCAAACATGAATCTTCTTTTTAAGCCTTTTAAACAGTGAATTTGTATTTAAAGACCAACTGAGAGCCTTGGTAAGGGCAGGCTAAATCACCAGCCAGCTCTAAAGGCGCCGGTTGTCCCTGTTAGCTGCGCTGTCCTGCCCGAGGGCAGCAGGGACACGGCCCGGGGAGCGGGAGGGACCCGAGCCCCCGGCACTGCCCGGCCTCGCGGCTCAGGACGAGTGTGGTGCATCCTCATCAACGCATTCGTATCCGTAGGTGCATACAGGGCTTAACCACCATCATTTTTGCTTGTGAGAGAAAGGTCTTTCAAACAAAAAATACTTAATGTTTGAATCTCTCAAGATGACAATGCTAATTTAACTTTCCTGATTATTTTTGCAATTTTAATTGAATATTTTAGAACATAAAGGATTATTTACATTTCAGAATCATAGAGTTGCTTCCAGTTCTGAATAATCAGACATAAAAAGAGGTTTCTGACCTACTTAATTCATTTTGATATTCATTATTGTGGACTTTGTGCCTTAGAAACAGGTCTAAAGTGTCGTTCTGAAAGGGATTATCAGAACCCCCCATGTATTTCCCAGAGGCTCTTTCACTCCTTTATGACCATCGTCATAAGGCCTAATGGTCACTGGGAAATCAAGTATCTCAACAAACTCCAGGTAATGGGAGGGAACGGCGTGGAGCGATGCTGGCGGATGCCGCCGCGTGGAGGCTGGCGCAGGGGGAAGGGCCGCGCGGGCAGAGCGCGGGGTCCCTGCGCGGGGCTCCTTGCGCCGCGGGGCGCGCGGGGCTCCCGCCTGCGGGCCTCCTCCAGGCACCGCGCTCGCCCCGAATCCCACTGGTAATTGATTTTTCACACAAACCATCCTTCAAATAGCATCTTGCTTTTTCTTTTTTTTTTTCTTTTTGTAAAGTACTGTAGCAAAATGTGAACAGATGCTTGTACATTTTAACAAGATTTATTTTCAGCTCCCTCCTTAATATTTACTAGTATCTCTTTAGCAGCCCTAAGGGTGACTGCACAAAATGTGCTCCCAATGTCTCTTCTTTTGTGCAGCCATGTCGGCCACCTTTCCAATTCCAGCCCTGATGCTACTGCTACAGAAATACCATGGCAAATTACTGCATGCTGCTTAGGCAGTTCAAGAGAAATGTGCAAGAGAGATGTAAATAGGATCATATAATACTTATTAGTAGATAAGTGCAAGTTATCTTTTGCTTTAAAATAATTCATGGTCTTGTGAGTTTAGTGTTTCGTATCCTAACCAGGCAGGCCCTGACGATTAGGAGAAAAGCATCACAGGTTGTGCTTTTCTGAAAAAGTTTGGTTTTTGGGTCCTTGTGTTAGTATGAAATTGTTTTTACTTCTTATGTAAATGGTTATTAATAAGTATTTACATTTAAATTGGATTTTTAGTGCAATTTAGTGCAATAATAGAAAAGTATTTGATCATCACCCGATCAAAAGATGGTTACTAGTGGGAGTTTAAGTGTATATGCAATCTCGTTTTTATAGGAATTGGTTTTAAATTCTACGTCTTCCTTTTCTGTCATCCTAGTAGTGCATGTAATTGTGGTTTTATATCTTCCATCTCTTTTTTTTCCTCCTCGAGCTACAGTATTTCAGCTGCTGCTTTGTCAGGCTTGTGACTGGTGATGTTTATTAGTCCTGCATCACTGTTGAAAAGCCGCAGCGCCTGCGGAGCTTCCCGCGAAGCCTGGCGCGTCGTTCCCCGCGCGCACCGTGTTCGGGATCTCCTCTCCGATGCCGTGCAGCTCACGGAGCTGACAGCTATGGAGCCTCGCCGGGGCCCTGTTTCGGCAGGACATGTTTGAGCAGAAACAGTTTGCAGAACTTGAGACACTTAAACTCCTGCCAAGGCAAACTCTTACCCACTTGAGTTGGTTATAAATACCCACTGGTAGTGGCTGGAAGTAGCCTACAGTGCATTTTATATTCCGAGCTGAATGTAAGTGTCTTTGTGGTTATAGAGGGTAGTAAATAATTGAGTTTGATTAGGGAGAGGGACCTCATTATCCCCCCACCTGTGCCCAGCTGGTAGGGGAGGGTCGAAATGAAGCCATTAGCTGTCTCTCTTACTGGCATCTCGGAGAGCTCAAATACATCTGTGTCTTATTTTCTTTTCTGGCACAATCAGTCGAGCAAGCTAAGCAGGCATGACCGAATTTGGCAAGTTCCAAGGACTCTGGCAAAGTTTCACAAGGAGAAGACGGAGGGCAGTCATTCTGGCTTCCAACTGGCCATTAGTCTAGCGAGTTGTGTTTTTGGAAAAGGTCTGTTGTGGAAAGGAGTGCTTTGTCCAATGTCAAGCGCCGCATTCCCAAACAATCCTCTTTGATGTCGAGTATGATTTGTCGGAGGAGTCAAGCAAAGCTCTGCACTCATGTAAATGCAGACTGCGAGATGGTGAAGTACTACCTGAAAGACCAGAGCAAAAGGTGCTTAACATAAATCTGTGCTATCGTTTAGGATTTTTTCCTTGGAAATGCTATTATCGCAACTTGACATGCTAAATCAAATGGTGTTTCTAGGAGCTGTGACTCAGCTGCCAGTTGGCATGTGGATGAAGTTTGGCAATGCAGCTCCTCCGCTCAGTAGCACCTTTCTCTGCTTTATTATAACGTTTAAATTGCTTTGACTATTATGTGTGTGTTTTTTTCAAAGTAGCACCATCATGATACCTGAGAGAGTAAGCTTTGAAGCATTTTAAAAATATCAAGCCCTCGTAGTACATTTACAAATTCAAAGCTTGGAAATGTGTATTTATTCAAGCTAAAGAAGCACTCCACAATAGGCCTGTCACCAGTTTATAGATAGGTGTGGGTGTCTCCTGGGGAGCAGGGCAAGGCAGGAGCCCCAGGAAGCGAGTTGGGGCAGGAGGGTGCCTGGTTGCATTTCTGATGTTAGATTGTGGTAGTGCCAGAATACAGGCGATCAAGCCAAAGACACAAAACGTTATGTGGGGATACCTTTAGATCCACCAAAACAGCTTCATTTGGACTCAGGATGAACCGTGTGGCTGGCGCAGTCGTTCTGATTCGGATCATTCTGCGTTCTGTCTAAAAAAAATTACCCAGCCGAAGTCAAATACATTGTGTCAACCGGGATTTCTAGTCCTGACTTCGACTCGGAGCTGATCAGGGGAATCGTTATTAGTCATTCTCAGGCACTTTCAACCATGCCAGCCATTTTCTGCAGAGAGCTCTAAGTGCTATAAATTCCACTTCGCTTGGGGAAAAGAGAAAAAGGAAAAAGAGTTGTGGCTTGGAAAGACGGCTTTTGGAGCAGTGTGTTTCTCGTTCCCGTGTCTCCGTGTTGTTTGCTTTCCGTGAGCTCAGCGCAGGGAAGATGCTCCAGAAACGCCGGGGCGCCCGGGCCGCGGGGCTGGCGCCCGCGCTGCAGCTCCTGCCTCTCCTGGTTGTTTGCTTTGCTTTTTCCGCTCTGAACCTTGCCACCCTGGCTCCGGCTCCGAGGCTGTAAAAGAAGATGGAAAGCCAAGTTACCTCCGAATGATCACTATCATTAACATTCACGGGTGGTTCACTTATCATTCCTGACTGCACAGACATGGCAGCCGTTATGAAACGTCCACAGGTGTAGCACGATGATACATATTACATTGTGCCACAATGGATTTATGTATTCTGTAACAAAAGAAAAGTGTAATGAAAAAATACAGAAGGTAATCCTTTATTCCTCTGCTGCACAATTTATCAGTAATGCCTGTGGATGATAAGTGCCAGGGATTTCCTTTGCTTGATTTAACCTTGTCACCCAGGTATGTTTTTGTAAAATGACAGAAAATACAAGCTAAGGAATTTCTTTGCCTTCCCATTTGTAAGCAGCAGGTCTAATTGATAAAATAGCATATGTTTGTCCCATTTCCTTGTGCGTTAACTTTAAACAAAGTATCGCATCCTAGCAGAGCACGCTAAGGCAGCCGTAATTTATAATGGTAATTAAGGCCGTGCTGGAATAGGGCTCCGCGAGGGCAGCTCCTGCGCTGTGGACACAGCTGGCAAGGCGAGCTGGGGCGCGCGTCCGCGCGGCGCCCGTGCCGAGCGCGCCGGGCACGGATGGACGGATGGATGGATGGATGGTGCTGGGGACGAGCCA